GCAGTGGCGGGGAGGGGAAGAGATCAAATGAAGTACTTGTATGCATGCATATAAGCATAACCAATGGACACAAGACACTGGGGGGACGGGGAGGCCAGGGGATTGTCAAGGGGGCAGGGGAATAAAAGGAGACATATGTAATACTCTTTGTAATACTTTAAGCAATAAAACAAAAACTAAAATAAAAAGTCATTCCCTGCTAAAAACAAATGTCATTATAATTAAATCTAGGCCCTAGCTGGTTTGGCTCAGCGGATAGAGCATTGGCCTGCAGACTGAAGGGCCCCGGTTTGATTTCTAGTCTGGGCACATGCCCAGTTGTTGGCTTGTGCTGGGAGCTGGTCCATCCTTGCTGTCTCAAGGGACCTGGCATATATGGCGTACTGTTCTTAATATGTTTGCTCACCTTCTTGGCACTGTGTTTTAACCAAGGTCACCTCTCTGAGAAAGGTTGTTTCCCCAGGTAGGGATTTTCCCCTGAAGTTAGGGCGGGAATAAAATCCCTTAACTAAGTGCCAGGCGGGTAATTAATCACTTTAACTACGAACAATCATGCTTAAGCTACATAATCTTTACTCCCTGGAATGGAGATAAGAAACGCCCTAGGCTGGAGAAACTAGACAGAACCTGGCTGAAGAACCTGGCAACAGAACCTGGCGACCGAACCTGGATGGAGAACCTAGCAAGAGAACATGGACACAGAACTTGGGTGGAAATTGTGGCTAGAGATCCTGGCAAGGCTACAAGAGAACATGGACACAGAACCTGTCTGGAGATCCTAACTAGAACTTGGCTGGAGATTCTAACCAGAACTTCGCTGGAGATCCTGCCCAGAACTTGGCTAGAGATCCTGGCTAGGCTGCTGATCAACTGAACACTGTCTCTGTGTCATTCCTTCTTCTCTGACTCCGTCCACACCTTTGGGGACCCCTGGACCTGCTGGGGTTGGACCCCAGCAGGCTTGATCTCCAGTAGGGGGAGTTCAGGAGGCAGCCGATCAATGATTCTCTCTCAACATTGATGTTTCTATTTCTCCCTCTCCCTTCCTCTCTGAAATCAATAAAAATATACTAAAAAACTTAAATCTAGAATTTGCCAATCAATAGGCAAGGTACTTCAAAAAGCCTTGTAAAACTAGGATATAATGGCCTGAGAAGAAACGAAAGAGGAAAAGTATAATTAATATTCATCTGATGAGGACATGCATCAAACTTGCCACATAACATAGATTTCTAATTTATCGTACCTGAATATATCAGGAGAAATGGTGTCAGACTGTTCCACTATTTAACTAAATAAAATTATTCCAATTCTTATAGTCAACTCAATAATCACTTGACTTTTCAAGAATTAAAAAAACAACAATAGTAAAAATGAAAAGCTGAAAACCCTGGGCAAAATAATACTTTGAAATATAAAAAAGAAAAATAAAGAAGAAGAAACAATTTCTGATCCTCAAAAGTTACTGTTACAATAATGAAAAGAAACCACATATACCTGATAAAGGACATGTATATACATATATACATAAATACCAGTATGTATATATGTATATACTATACATACACCAGTATGTATATATGTATATAGATAGCACTTTTAAAACTTAATAAACTCAATTAAAACATGGACAAAAGATTATTTCATGTGTATAGCTATATGTTAAAACTTACCTAATTTTACACTTCAAAATATATAGTTTAGTGTATGTCAATTATACTTCAATAAAGCAGTTTAAAAATGTAATCTAACTCCCTCACTAGACTGTCGGCTTCTTGAGGGTAGGGATTATAAATTATTAACATTTGTGTCTACATTAACATCTAGTAACACAAGAATATAGAAGTAGATGATTAAGTACTTTCCATAGAAACATGATAATTAATGAGAAAAACAGGAAAATATTGTATTAACTGAGGTTAAAATAATGAATCCAGAAATACTTAATTCACATTTACACAATGTGTGGCAGGCTAAAAAAGAGTACCACACTGAGATTAAGAGATATGAGGAACCCAAAGTGAATCCTTAAGTGACCAAATCTCATTAGACTTCATTTTGTCATCTAAAAATCAGACTTGTTAATAATTCTTGTTTGCCTGATAGAATTGCTTGGAAAACCAAATGAGATTAAAATCCTTTAAAACCATAAAGGAGTTAGTACTGGTGTCTAGACTTAACTTTGTAAGGAGGTAGAGAAA